ATTTGGATACAGCTCACGGAACAAAACAAATTGTAGAAAAACTTCCATATTATCTCCAAGAAAAATGGGTAAGCTTTGGAAGCAAATACAAGGAGGATCATCTGGTGACTTTTCCTCCCTTTTGTGTGTTTTCTAAGTTCATTCGTCAACAGGCTAAGATAAAAAATGATCCTAGCTTTACTTTATCCACCACCAGCAGTTATGTCTCTCCAAGAACAGAAAGGCCAGAGAAGTTCAACAGTAAAGCTTCTGTGACTGTACACAAAACAGACATCCCTGCAGAATCATCAGGCATCCAGTCCAGTCCTGGGCTGAAGATATTGGATGATCCAGATCATCAGTGTCCAATCCATCCTCATCCACTGAAAAAATGTAAACCCTTCAGAGAAAAATCCCTGGAAGACCGCAAAGCATATCTCAGAGAGAACTACATCTGATTGAGATGTTGTGGATCTACACAACACATGGCGAAAGACTGCAAGGCGACTGTAAAGTGTTTTGAGTGCAATAGCGACAGACATATTGTCGCCCTGCATCCAGGTCCCCCTTCTGTGACGACACAGACTGTAGCTGCTGACAAAGATGACAGCGGGGAGAAAGATGACAGCGGGGAGAAAGGTAGCACTTCATCTCCTTCTGTTACATCAAAGTTCACTGACATTTGTGGAAATGCAGACAGCCCGCGCTCATGCTCCAAAATCTGCTTGGTGAAAGCATATCCTGCAGGTAAAAAAGAGAAGGCAATTAAGATGTATGCTGTGTTAGATGAACAAAGCAATAAATCTCTTGCTAAGACAGAATTCTTCAACATCTTTGAAGTCAAAGCCAACCCTGCTCCATACACCCTGAAAACCTGTTCTGGGGAATCAGAAACTTCAGGTAGAAGAGCTGCTGACTTTATTATTGAGTCTATGGATGGTAAGCTACAAATACCATTACCCACCCTAATTGAGTGTGACATGGTACCTGACGACAGGACCGAAATTCGATTGCCAGAGATTGCAAAACATCACCCACACTTACAGTCAGTTGCTAACAAGATTCAACCTGTAGACAAAGATGCCCCGATCCTCCTGCTCTTAGGAAGAGACATCCTTCGGGTGCATAAGGTTCGAGAGCAGATCAACGGGCCCCGTAATGCGCCCTACGCCCTTGAAAATTTGAAGTACCTCAGTTGTACAAAAAGCAGTGGAAGCATGTCCAGAGTCTTGCCGACACCTTCTGGAAAAGATGGAATGGGGAGTATCTGTCTACTCTTCAGAATCGTAGAAAATGGACAAAAGACAAACCAAATGTCAAGGAAAGAGACATTGTCTTGCTAAAAGACAGCCAGGCCCACAGAAATGAATGGCCCATGGGACTGGTGATTAAGGCTTTGGCAAGCAGTGACAAGAAGGTGCGCAAGGTGGAAGTGTGCATTGTGCAGGATGGGACGGCAAAGGTGTCAGAAAGGCCAGTCTCAGAAATTGTGAATCTTCTTTCAGAGCCTTAGAGAAAGGACTCTTAGTATGTTTCGAACTGAAGACATTCCCTTTTGAGTCTTGTTGTATTTGTAGTGATATAATGTTGTTATATCAAGCGGGGAGTGTGCTGCCTTTATTTTGAAGTCAGTAATTTGAATTAAGTTAAAAATGTTAAAATAAGTGTCATAAAAAGTTAGATTTAAAAGATTAAAAACCTTGCATTTTTACATGGTTTATACTGCCATCTATTGGTTATTGTGGGTAGTTTGTTCATTAAGTCACATGCTGCAGTGAAGCAGTCAGAAGGACAGAGAGAGATTTGTCTGTAAGTTTTATGTTCAGTTCTTTCTAAAAATATCGAGATATTAACACAAAATTCAAGTCAGAAACTTTTACTTGTTTTTGTCTTACATGTGCTCTTAGCTAATGCTAAATGTAGTAGCTAACTGTTTTCTTCATGGTTATGATAGCGTGTAGCTTTGGATTGAATTAGCATTTTTATGCATTTCTGTACTTGCTTGAATTTAGATAGAAATGCTTATACTTTGTAAATGTATACTTGTTATCTGTACTGAAATATTGTTATTCTCTTTGTAATATTGCAGTTTTACAAAACAAAACAAAACAAAACAAAAGGAACTCAAGTAAAATCAAGAAAAGACAAGGCACTTTTGTTTGAGTGTTATCTGGCTGTCAAATCCTGTACATTGGAACATGCAGAAAGGGCAGTACACATTTATTTTGTGAGTGCAGCAAGTTGGAGAGGTTTCACCAGAAATTGAAGGCATTATTAGAGAATGAATGGAAAATTGTAACAAGCAGAGAAAGGGAGTGGTGGGAGTTGTTTCTGTTGGGAGTGGGGGGGAAAGTGAGGGTAGGTAGTGCACATTTATTAAACTTTATGTTGAGTCATGCCAGGTACGCAATGTGGAGTAGGAGGAACCTGGTACATTTTGAAAATAGGAAGGTTGATGTATGGTCCATTTTCAGGTCGGTAGTGTATAGGACGTTTCTTCTGGGCCAGAAATTCCTGAAGAATGAGGAGTTTCAGGAGTGGTTTGTGTTAGGGCACAAGATCTGTGAGTTGGGTAAGAGGGGGGAGGTACAGGTGAAGATGGATTATGGATAGGGATGGAAGGAGTGGGTTTGGAGGGGGAGTGGACAACAAGATTGGGGTGTAGGGATTATTTCTGGACACTAGGTGGTGCCAAAACTGAGGGGAAAAACAGGGTTGAGTGGAAAGGGATTGTATGAATGCATTGCGAAGGAGGAATTGAATGTGATGTCGTACCACTTAAGTGTTGTATGAGTATTATAGTTGTATGGTTTTTTTGTGAAATGGTGAAGTATGTAGGAGGGATGGGAGATGGGAAGACAAAAGGACAAAGTATGATAGTAGTGGGATTGATAGGTGCCTGTATATTGTAATGTGGTGGGAGGTGGTTGAGTGACTGCTGCTCCCACTAGAAGGAGACAGCAGGCAAGGAAGGAGGGTGACACCAGGGGTAGGGTGACTCTGATGAGGGATGGGGGAGGGAGAAGATACAGAAGGAGAATGGTGGGTTTTGGTATATAGTTTTGTGTTTGGTTCACTTGGGAATGTATTTATTGTGTGAATTTCTTGATTTGGGGGAAGGTATGATTTAATTATGACTGGTGTTTTGATTTTGTTTGTTTGAATTTATTGTGTATTTAAAAAGGAAAAAAAAAGAAGTGTATAAGTCAATTATGATAGTTGTGGGGATTTTTGTTTGTTTGATTTATTGTTTGTTGTTTATTTGGAAAAGAACGTAAAACATGAAGGAAACTGAAATGGAAAATGTAATTTGTATTTTTGATGATAATTTAAAAAATAATTTAAAAGAAACACGCCCGATGTCGGAAGCTAAGCAGGGTCGGGCCTGGTTAGTACTTGGATGGGAGACCGCCTGGGAATACCAGGTGTTGTAAATTTTTCATTTTTTTTCTCCTCCCCTACAGGATATTCATGACTATGTTTGACAAAATGAATAGGGTGATGAAGACAAATTACATTGTGTGAGACATGTTTTTTTTTATCATATGGTGATAGAGACATAATCACATGTCCAAAAAGTCAGCCAGAATCAATAATGTGGGGGATTATGGCCGAGGACATCAGATCTTTAACGGTCAGCAGATCGAGACTGTCCAGTTTTATAAATACCTTGGCGTCTTCCTGGACAGTAAATTGAACTGGAAAAATAATACTGATGCTGTTTTCAAGAAGGTACAGTCCAGACTTTTCTTCTTAAGGAAGCTGAGATCCTTTGAAATTAGCAAGAGTCTTCTTTATGTTTTTTTTTATCAGGGAATCTTGGCTAGTGTCCTCTTTCATGCTGTGCTATGTTGGGGTGGCAGCATCTGTGTTGATGATAAAAACAGGATCAATAAACTGATTAAAAAACTGGCTCTGTGATTGGCATTACCCCAGACTCACTTGAGATCACTGTTGATAAGAGAATGAGGACCAAACTTAAAACTGTTTTGATCTTTGAAGGCAATCCTTTACAATGTTTTTGACGGACTCCGAAGCTCCTTCAGTGAGCGACTAGTGATGCCACAATGTTCCTGTCCACTGAACGCATCAGGAGCTCCTTTGTTCCTGCAGCAGTCCGATATTTTAATGAACATTTTTAGTTGTGTTTCTGACTCATGGCTGCACATGATCATTAAAATGGTTTCAGTGGTGTTTGTTATTTATTTACTTGTTGTGTACTGTGATGTACTGTCAATATTATTTGTTGTGTTTATGAACTGACCAGGTGACAAATGAGTTTCCCCGCTGGGGATCAATAAAGTTTTCTAATCTAATCTAATCTAATCATTTTTCCACGCATATGCATATCGACTTTATCTTAATATTGTTGTATAGATTCACACTTCTGTTTTTTATATATTTTGCATAATTATGATGTATAACTATTAATCTATACTGTAAAATCATGGCTCTAAAAATATGTTTTTCATGTGCAAAGTATTCCTAGTATTGCCTGTGACACCAACATTCGGCACACTGTTTATCATAACATTAAGCAATTATCTGTGTTAAAACTGTTCTCTTCCATAAAGCAAGAATGCAGTGTATATTCTTAGATTTATATATTTTTTAGTCTTATTTCATTGTTTTTTAACTAGTGTGTCCATCATCATCTCTTCATTATCCCTGCCCATGACTTGGAGCTGCTGAAATTAGGTAATTTCCCCGAATACGGGATCAAAAAAGTATATCTTGTCCTATCAAACAAATCCTCACAAAATTACAAGGGCTCTCTTTATTTTAATATTATTATATTTTATTTTTTATACTTGAATGCCTTGTATATTGAAACAAGTCTGACTATAATCAAAAAAGCAAATAATGTTAGAAAGTGAACTTTTACATTTAGAAGTTAGTAGCCTCCTGTATTTTGAAAATCCCCCAGAAGCGTGTACGGAAGTTGCATAATAAAGTTCCGCTCCTGATTGGACGATACAACATACGCTAGCTTTGTCCAATAACGTGTCAGCTAGGCGGAGCAATAAGAATATATAAACAGAGAGTCGACGGTGATTAAATAATTCACATTTCTTTACAGAAAAGATATTAATATCAAACATGTCAGGAAGAGGAAAGACCACCGGGAAGGCCAGGGCAAAGGCGAAGAGCCGGTCATCTCGGGCCGGGCTTCAGTTTCCTGTCGGCCGGGTCCACAGGCTGCTGAGGAAGGGGAACTACGCTCAGCGTGTCGGCGCCGGAGCTCCCGTCTACCTGGCGGCGGTGCTTGAGTACCTGACGGCTGAGATCCTGGAGCTGGCTGGAAATGCAGCCCGTGATAACAAGAAGACCAGGATCATCCCCCGTCACCTGCAGCTGGCTGTCCGCAACGACGAGGAGCTCAACAAGCTCATGACTAACGTCACCATCGCTCAGGGCGGTGTGCTGCCCAACATCCAGGCTGTCCTGCTGCCCAAGAAGGCCGAGAAAGCTGGCAAGGCCAAATAAGTCGTCCTTGAACGCAACACCACAAAGGCTCTTTTAAGAGCCACACACACATCCTATCGAGTTTCTTCCTATTAGTGTAGAAATCTAATACAGACAGCGACTAACAAAAATGTCTGCAAACTAGAGTATTAACATACTTTCAGTTTCGAAACTAACAACACCTCCTTTTGATCAGAGTAGAAATCGGAAATTAAGTAGATGCACTTTATCGACTCCATACTAGTAAATTCTGGTGTCAGTAGGTGGTTTTAATAAGTTTGAATGTTAAAAGCATTGATCACAGTTACATTGTCCTGATGTTAACAAATACGTAGGCTACTATCAGCAGATAAATGGATGTAATAAAACGAATCAAGTCATTCTAATAGCGCATATATTCATTTCAAAGTAAATTTAAATTCATGCCAGAATCACAGATCATCCATATCACGTCTTGGTGCCAAAATCAATTTTATTTACAATTTGATCTATTTAAAAAAAAAACCTTCAATACAATAATAATGTTGTTTAACTGACTCTCACTGAAATATAATTTCCACATACAGATTAAACACTGCCATCTTATATTTGATTTGTATTAAATTAGGCTCTTCCTCATTCATCAAGCAGTCACAAAGACTTAACTTAAACTCCACTTAGAATGTTTGACAACAAGGACAGAATCTGACTACCCAAAGGCACAGGACCAAACAGTATGGCACTACATAAATATATAAATGAAGAAAAGAGTTCATGGATGGGACTATAACTCCAGAAAGTTCACAAAGACAAACTCACTCAGAGAGACACTTCAGTGTTCATAGCTGTATGGTGTGCTGCAGATTTGTTTAATAAAGTATGATATACTTTGACACCATGAGGAAAGTTCAGGAGATACACTTACGATGTGTGAGCATCATTGTTTTGAAGAGCCAATGAAATGATTTAATTAGTCAATAACCATCTTGTTTCATCTTTAGTGGACATATCTCATTTAAAAATATGAACATTTTTGGTAAAAACATAAAGAAAGGTTAACATTTCAACATATGGTGAGATGAAGATTTTATGTGAGCAGTGTTTTCAGAATTTATTTAACTGCACAAGAGTCCAAAAGCATTAAATACAATCACAATGGGATTGTGAGCCATCATTAGAGACGCAACAGTCCACTTTTTTTCAGTTCCAATCCTTTAACGATACTGATTGGGATGTTTTTATTATCATTTTGTTGTTATTGGTATTATTGGTGAGGTTACACAACAGTAAGCCCTGCATTGCATTGTGCTGGCTTCACATACAAACAGGAAGCAGCAACAACTGTCAGGTTTTCAAAGTAAAGCTTTTAAACTGAATTGTAAGAATTGTACTTTTGATCATATAGAAGGAGCTGTTCCATCTTGTCTGAACGTCGTCATGGAGACGACTTGTGTACACGTCTTATAGTTCAGTCTGAACGTCTTCAAAGATCAGTGATGTGGATTGATGCCATCAGTCTGATGTGCCATACGTAAATTACGTCAATACCGGACCCGACACTGATATAAGATCCCATCTCTAGTCATCTTCATTTTATTTTCCATTTCACAATCTGGTAAAAGGAGTCACATTGTATTTCATTCTTGAAGAATAGCAGAGTATAATGACTAAACTGAGTGTGGCAGTAGCTCAGTCTGTGGGGACTTGGGTTGGATCACGGTATGCAAATTGGTCTGGTTGCTGAAGAAGTGCCAGGTCCTGTCCTGAGTACTGTGAGGTGCCCTTGAGCATGGCACCGAACCCCCTACAGCTCAGGAGGGCTCCCTGTGAGCAGCTCCCTCTGACATCTCTGCATTAATGCATGTCCATAGTTTGTGCATGTGTGTATTTCGGGCCTCAATACTCTGGAATTATTAAAAGTAAATTAAATAAGTATTAGCCAGCAAAATATCTGCGCTTGTTTGAAACTCCTATAATACAAACAAAAAGAGTACTACATACTGAGAATGTGTGAAATAATGAAGAGTCAAACATAATAGACCTAAAGCAGAGATGAAGCAGTGACTTTATGTACATCTTATTCTCCAACAACTTGACATGTAAAACCAGAAAGTTTTGAAAGAGATTAAAATTCAAGACAAGAACCAAAAGAAAACATGATACTGTCAAACCTCTCTAGAGTATTAATTTAACTTAATGTATCTTTAAATAGTATAAAATAAAGATGTTTCATTTGGCAGGTTTAAGAAATAAAAACAAGAACTGTCAAATATGTGCAATCTTTTAAAATAAGCCTTCATAACTTTATTCTGCAGTGTCTTTTTTCCTGAAGCCCCCTTTGTGTTGAATAGCCTGCAGGAGCTTGGTCTGCATCCTCTCCTTGATCGGGTTCCTCCGGTAGAGGGCAGTAGTAGCCGATTATGGCAGGTTTGGGACTCTGGACGATGGGTCTCATTGGAATCATAAAGGACAGCGACTCTCATCCTGATGCTCTCCATACCCAGGAAGGGAAGGCGGTTGCAACCGGTGAGAAACACTTGAAACAAAAATAAGAAGGAGATCGTGTTGATCTTCTTCAATTTGAATTAATGATGATAATCACTGTCACGTGTAACACTTACAAAGGAATTTCTTCTTATCCTCGGCTGTCAGTTTCTCAAACACCTCCCAGAAGGTAACGATGTTTGGATGCTCAGCACGATAGACTCCTTCATAGACTGTGTTCTGTTTGAAAAAATATAAACAATAATGTAGAAGTGGAATAAAAGGTTCATAAAGCAGGGGTGCAAACTCATCAGGGATGAAAAAGGTGACATGCCCCCCTGGGAATTATTTTTTTTTTTGTTAAGTATCAGCTTTAAAATGTTAATTTACAGACAATTTTAGAATTCAGACTGACTAAAGAAGCAGTGCAAACAATAAGAACAACACAATTGCTTGTCGGTATCTATGTTCTCTTCTAACTTTTTGATAAAGCTTCAGTGAAACATGAAAAACCTGTGCTCCCAACCTTCAGTCCCTTTTTATAAATGGGATGAATTTGCAGAACAGGACTTACCATGTTCTAGTAAGGGGTGATGTGAGAGCAGTCACTATGCTAGTAGCTCTCAGAGCAGAGTCTGAGAGAACATAATACAGTCATCAAGTATGACAATATTGTCAAATATCTTCTATCATAAAATATGTCACATTATCAATATATTAACCTGATGTTTTGCTCCTGCTGTTTAAAAAAAAATGTATTAGGTGATGCAGAACAATACAAGACGAGTGAGGGACATGACAAGAGCAAGTAGTATGTAGTATGTAGGAGACGGGAGACGCGACGATACAATGCACAGCATAGACAGAGACAAAACAGGCAAGCAGGGAGTAATAATAACGTTTAACAATTTTGTATGTTGAGGGTGTTAAAGGGCCCTGCTTGTGTGTGTGCGTGTTTCTGTGTGTGGGTGTGTGTGTAATTCAAGTGTATGCTTGCATTTTCTTTTTTTCTTTCCTCTTTTTCTTTTTTTTTTTTTATCTTTTATTCTATTTTTCTTTTCTTTTCTTTATTTATTGAATTTTTCCTCCTTTTTCTTCTTTCCCCTTTCCTCCCCCTCTTTCTTTCTATATATATTCTCATTTCCACCACTTCAGTCACTGTGCGATGCAGGGGTGCCCCTGTCTCAGTTGCCCCCAGACCCTGCGGAGGGGGCCAGCCGATAGGGTCGCCCACTGCCACCCTCCCGCCAATCCCGAACAACCCCCAGACCCGATGGGAGGGGACCTGCCCGTGTTGGCGCTCGGAGGCATCACCTGATCAACCTCTCCAAGGCACAGTATCTTCACCATTGCAACCATTTTTCTTTTTTTGTCTTTTTTTATGTATTTGTATTTATTTGTCCATGTGGGGGATGTGAAGTCCATCCCCCTTTTAACCTTCGTGTCCAAAGATGGACCACCGAGAGGATGGAGGCACCAGGAGGGTCTAGAAAGCACATTCAAAACAAAGGGAAAGAAGAAAACTAGAATAACTGAGGAATGATCAAATAAAAAAGTATGTGTATGGACCATATCAAATGTGTTCCAGTGTATTGTGTTGTTGGGTTGTGTTGATGACAGTAATATAAATAGCGCAGATCGTATTGTAGTAATAATAATGTAATTTCTCCAGATTGTTTGACTATGATTTTCTTGTGTATCGTTTTAATTCTCATTATCTTGCCTCCTTTACCCTCCTCAACATACCACTAATACCAGAAAAAGAGAAAAATGATAATAATAATGATAGTACAAAATAAATACTAAAAAGAACGAAATATATATATATATATAAAATGCGAGAGAGAAAAAAAATAAAAAATAATGGTAAATAATAGAGATAATATCAATATTTGAAGCAATTGTTACAAGAGTGTACAGTAGTAATTATGATAATAATAGTAAAAAGAAACAACAACAATAACAAAAAAAAGCAAAGGTTTGTTGGCACGGGGTGATAGCAGTAGTAATTATAAGAGAAACAGAAAATACATAAATAATGAATAAAACAAGGCAACCAAAGAAAAACAGATAATCATCTGAATGAAGAAAGAGAAAGAAAAAACAAACAAAAAAATAAATAAAAATAAATGCATAAAAAATGAGAGTGGCTGTGATGAGAATTCATGATGATGAATATGATATGAATATAAGGGGGAGAGAGGAAATGTGATGTGTGTCTGTGTCTTTGTGTGTGTGTCTTAATGTGCGTGTGTTTGTGTGTGTACGTGTATGTGTATTTATGTGTGTGTAAGTGTGTGCGTGTGTCTTTACGTGTGTGTGTGTGTCTTAATGTATGTGTGTATGTATTTGTATGTGTCTATATTTGTGGTAGTGAATATCAGGGGTTTGAACTGTGTTGTTCGAGAAGTAGTGAGGTGAGGATTGGCTCCCAAGTTGTCAGAAATTGGTATGTTTTATTGTGGACGGATGTTCGACAAAGAGGTCTATCCATACTTAGGTGTTAGTTTTTTTCTGCTTTTCCAGTTGAGGAGGATTGCTTTCTTGGCGATAGTGAGCCCTATGAGTATTGTGTTTTTTTGGTTGTTGGGAAGTGTGAATGAAAGAGTGTTTCTTAGGATGCATAGTGAAGGGGGTTTTCATTAACTTGATATTCCCTCTGGCCTACCTTATTATGTTTGTTGACCAGCTGTCACTTTAATGTTGCCTGAGATAATAATGAACGAGAAAGCTGTATGAAGTTACCTTCAGCTAGCACGCATTTCTCTCAACAACTTTACCTATGGCTACCAAACATTAAATATGATCAGACAGGATGTTTAACAGAAAGGCTGGCTTGCTAGCCAGACTCCGAATCTTTCCACAGTGTTTTCACAGAAAAATAACGTTATGTAAATTAGCCATGTGCTGCACATGGCGGCTCATTGAATCAGGTTTCATGCTTCTTGCGGAAGGCGCAACGATATTGCGCAATCGCGGTCGGAAAGAGAATGGTCCACGGAGGATCTGAGCGCCCAGTCGCGCACCTTTTGTAACAACACGGACAAGTTCATGCCGACCGCGTTGCAATGATTGGCTACAGGGCCCGGAAAGTACTTTCTTCAGGCCATGTTGAGCAATCAGACCACTCTGACCGCAATCAGTATGTAACGACTCGACGTTTGCAGGGACCGTGCTCGCCTTTCCAACCAGTTTAAATAGGTCACAGAGCTCCTCAAAACATGTGTCTGAAGTTTCTTGTTCTAAATCCACTCTGATTATGTCTATAAACCCCTCTATTTCAGCCCTACTCAGAACAGGCTGTTTCTGTGTCTGTACCTTTAAATATGTAAATGAGCTGTGTCTGACCACGCCCCCCTCTCTGGAAGGGCTTGGGTGTCTTGGTCTTTCTCGCTCCATGTCCTATTGTTTACGGTGAGAAGGCAGACTCAGAAGGCAGAACAAACATCTAGCTGTGGGAGTGTCACCCACCTGGGGGAGGGGCTACTGCCCTTTGTGATGTCATGAAGGGAAAATCTCAAAAAGGCCTGTTTGAGCACACATTTTCTAAAAAGTGGAGCAGATAAAAGATGATGGTCTTTTCTGATAATTGGGGGGTTTGTAGTGTTAGATTAGTGTCAGAAAAACATGGTGAAGTTTATTTTGCATGTTATGGGACCTTTAAAGGGCTGTCTTTAAGCCTACCTGCTTGAACACATCCCAGTCGTAGTTTTCTTGGCCCACCATCACAGCCCGCAGGTCCTCCGGTTGGAAGAAGTCCACCACGTCGTAATCGCACACTTTGAAGAACCCCCTCTTGAACTCTTCAAACACCCTCTCCACTGATTTGTTGAAGGCATAGTTAACAAAGGTGTTTACGAATTCTTTTCTAGTTGGAAAAAGAGCAAATCATTTAAATCACAAAAGCTGCTATGACCAAGTGCTGGAGGTTTTTTTGTTTTCATAACTAGTACAGTTTCTGTTCAAACAAATGATCAGTAAAGTAAAGCATCCCAAAAGGTTGTGTTGTAGACAATCTATAGACAGCAGTTCTGTATAAACATACTTGTTTGATGCTGTGACAGGTTTTTCAGATTCTGTCGGATCAAGCTCAACTTCCTCACCATCCCATGTCACCTGCAAGGAATAAGAGTTACAGTCAGATTGGAGTATTTCAGGTACCTTCAGGGAATAGTTGATAGTGACATGCACTTGAATATCATGGTTTGAATCGTTTTTTTAAGTATCCTGTTTTTGTCTTTGAGCATGTCAACACAATTTCCTGATTTTCAGAATCCTGATTTTGCTACCTGGAGAGCTCAGAAGGAAAACGGGATACTTGGGCATGCATATGCCTTACCCTGGATTCTGACAGTAGCTGACTCCTGCCTCAGCCAAGTGACTTTTCAGCAAGGCAAACATGGCAGTGGCAACTAGAGTGTCTTACTACTGGAGCAACGAAGAAACTGAGTTTTGTCTTTTGGTATCTGCAACACAATGTTGGACTTAATAGTGCCAAGCCCACAAGGTGGTCTAATCTGTCTCAGATTTCAAAATTACTGCATTTCATGTTTTAAAAAATAAACATCACAGGCTACTGCACAGTAATCAAAAACTGGTATGCTAGTATTAATCATGTATACAGGGATATGAAGAAGATATCCTTTATTAATCTCACAAGGGGGCATTTCTTTTACACTGTCATTGAGACATGCTGCACACACACATGCACGAATAGGATCCTCTGGACATGCACTAATGGAGAGATGTCAGAGTGGGGGGGGGGGGGGCTGCACATGAAGGAGTGCTCAAGCAGTTAGGGGTTTGGTGTCTTGCTCAAGGGTTACCTCAGCACAACTTGATCCGCACCGGGATTTGATCCAGTGACCCTCTGGTTCCCAACCCAGTTCCCCACAAACTGAGCTAAAGCCGCTCGAATAACCTGGTTTCTCTGTGTGCATGTAAACACCATATCCTGAATATGATCAAAACTGGGTAAAGTCCAGGTAAAACATTGGGTGATAATATGGAATAAAAACTAACCGTCTGTTCTGTGACATAATAAACCTACATTAAAGGTGATGTATAGGCTTTCCACTTCATCAGGGGTGTAGTCCTCAAGCATGCAACGCAAAGACCTGAAGACACAATAACAAAATAAAATAACTTAAAACTGCATGACACAGTGAAAAGAATATGTAACTGTTCTCTTTACAGTGGTAGGTAAAAACATAAACAATAAAGCTCTGCAGCATGATTTTGAATCTTACTCTCCCATCCCAGGGTCAAACTCCTTCAGGTCATCCAACGAGGGTTGGAAGCAAAGCAGCTTCTTGAAGAGAACCAGGGGGAAAGGCAGGTGGATGATGTTCTTGTTGAAGAGAGCCAGTCCACACAGAACGCCAAAGAGGAAGTAAGTCTTCTCATCCACTTTTGGCTTTTTGATTGAAGACAAGACAAGGATTTTGAATAAATCAAGGAGCTTCCAGGTTTTAAATGAAAACAGGACGTAAACCCTTACAGCATAGTTTCAGAGCAAAACTGTTCGATGGGGCGTCAGTCATCAGTTAAAGGTAGAGTTTTACTTGATCATTTTTAATTCTCACTTTCATGTGCAGTAATTTGCAGAATTGTATGTTAAAGTCAGAAATACTTTAAATGTACTGGTCAGCTACAAATGGGATCATTCAGTAAAAGCAAAAATTTAACACCTGGTTTTACCTTGGAAGGGAACCAGAGCAGAGTCTTGCTCTCGTTGTAATTGAACATTTCAGACTCGGGAGCGATCAGCTCATCGAACACGTGCAGGAAGAGGTCCTTATTGTTGACAAGCATCAACTCACTTTGATCCTTAAACTGCACCTAGGAGGGAACAAACCGTATATTTTAAAAGACCCTAACCAAGTTCATTTTGAACCAACTGAATGACTATCAGGGTTGATAAATAAACCTCCATGAAAGCTGGATGAGATCATTCTTTGGTCTGAAAACATAAATTACACATGAACAGGACAAGAGCAGAAGAGAGAGACATACCGCTTTTTGGGCATACAAACGTCTGTCTGTCTGCCTGCCTGTCTGTCTGTCTGTCTGTCTGCCTGCCTGCCTGTCTGTCTGTCTGTCTGTCTGCCTGCCTGCCTGTCTGCCTGTCTGTCTGCCTGTCTGTCTGTCTGTCTGTCTGTCTGCCTGTGTGGCAGGCTCTCCAGTCCTGCCTTCCCGTTACCTTGTCAAGCCTCTCCACCTCCTCCTCCTTACTGCAGACCTGCATCCCATCTATAATCAAGCCTGCAGTGTTTAAACCATGGCCTGTCCTCCATTCTTTGACACATTGTCTACTCACCCTGAGTGGTAGCTAGAGTCTGTCCCTTAAATTAACAATTCAAGTTTTTGCTTCTTTCTTGAGGAGTTTTTCAAAAGTCTAACACGTTTTCTTTTTTTGCCTGAGTGTTTTTGTCCGCCCGCCTGCCACAACCTCTGGATTATCCACCATTACTGCTCTGTTTTTTTTGGACCATAAACCAGCTCCTGTGTTTATTGTGTTGCTCTTGGATCCAGTCCTTCATTTAAATCGTAACACAAACTTTTGTTTCATCATTTACCATAAGCTCCCTGCGGAAGGCGCAGTGGTCGGCTGCAGCGAGTTGTTTGAAGGTGTCCTCCACTAGGTGAGTGCGTCTCAATGTGAGCAGGAAGCCGTAGTACTCAGACAGCTAGGTAAAATAATTAAACATTAAATAGTTAAAATATGTTTTAAGATAAATGCTGTAGCATTAATGTATACCTGCAGGATAATTGTTAGTCTATCCCTAATACATTCTGTACCTTCAAGATGTCGGCACAGCTGTCAAAGACCTCCACCTTCTGAACCAGAGGGAACACATCTTTGTTTGCCTGTAAAAAAAAAAGACATATTAATGACTGAACGGTTTGAGCGCATATAGTTTTCTGATAACTCAAAGCGCTCAGAAAATATTTTCAATTTGTTAAGTCAGACTGAAAAAAAATAAAAAAGTAATCTCATCTCTTATTTTTTCAGCCCCTTTTCTAATCCAGTGAGGGTAAGAGGTTTAATTCTATGACACCCCTTACTTACTTTATATAAATAATTTATTTTCACTTGTAGTTGATACCAAATTCAAAACTTGACACTAAAACACAACACTGACTTTGTAGAGCAGCTTGAGGGCACCCAGCAGGACACTGACTTCTTGGTCACGAGTTGTCAAGTTGTCAGGGTTTGTGCCCAAGAAGCTCAGGGCGTTTTTAAACACCAAGATGTGCTTCGTAATCATGGTCCGAGTCAGGGAAGACCACCAGCTCTCTGCAAAAACAAAATAACACCGTCACTGTATTTAATAAGAGAACATCAAGTCCAATTTTCACGCTTTTTAAAGTTATTTAGAAGGAAACCTCAGTTTTAACAACTCGTGATTTATTATAAGTATGTAGTATATTTTTTTAAAGTGTTGTGTAATAGGATAAGTTAGAAATACTAAGCACATGGAGGGACATATAAACTTTACATCACAGTTAAAATATTCAATCTTTTCTTTTTCATGGCTGTATTTAACATTGAGTTTGTAACTTTATGTTTTTTTTAAACTCTTGACAGTAAGCTCATGATTCATTACACATCTGAGCAAACCCGTGACAATAAAAGTACAAAAGTTATTTACTCAGTGTTTTGCGATTCTTCAAACTCAGATCTGCGATAAGTTGGGCCAAAGGCAGCACGATGTCAAAGACAGCAAGGCCCTCTTGGAGGAGAGGGCATGTCAGCAGAACCATCAAGATCTCCAAAGATTGGATATTATTTTTTGAAGCCCAAAGTAATTCAACCAGGTTGTTTAGTGTTACCTGAAAAGAAATGAGCATTATTAGATAACCTGACAATGTTTGAACAGCATAGGTGTTTGCAAAGGGATAAACCTGTGGCTACTGCCTTTCTTTAATCTCAGAGCCTTTCAAGTCATGACTGATTATTATTTTTTAAATTATTTTTTAATTTATTTTATTGCACTTAAAATGCAAAGCAAAACAAACAAACAAAAAACATAATAGATCAATGGAAAAACAGACTGTACATAATGATTAGTTAATTGACAAAATATACATTTTGAAAGAAATGTGCTGGAGGAGCCAAATAAACCCAGAAGGGCTTGTCGAGTAACACAGAGACATCTTATTAATGTAGTCCAAGCAAAAACAATAACGCTAACAAGAACACATACTCAATTAGGTGTAAAAGAAAGCAAAACAAGAGACAAATTAAAGAAGAGGGGAAAAAGGAAAAAAGGCTCTTATGGCAGAGAATGATTATGATGGCGCATTGGTTAATTGGCCAAGCAGTAAATAAATGGTTTGTTTTTTAAATAAGTTGAGGCTGGTGCTGTTTCTAATACGATTGGGTAAATTGGTTGAACAATGAGGTCCTCTGAATCTGAAAGAGAATCGAGACTGCTGATTATGGGTGCACTCACACTAGGCCAAGTTGCCCGGTACCTGAAGCACGATTGCCCGCCCCCTCCCCATTCCCCCGTTGGACTGCACTCAGGGTGCACTCACACTAGGCAATCTGTACCGTGCCTAAGCATGCTTCACCCTAAAGTCCAGATCGTTTGACTAGTGTGAGTGCTCTGATCTGTGCTCAAGCACAGTACAGTTCCTTGGCCCTGGCATGCTTGAAAAAGGTGTGCTTCAGCTCGGTACAGTTCATGCGCGAGCACAATCAACAATGGGTACACAACATGGACAGCTTTCAATATGGAGAATTCTGGAGTGTTCTGGCAAAAATTACTCAAAACAAACAAAGTCAATTAAGTATCTGTCATGTTCTCTGTGTTGTTGTCTGATGTGGGGACGCAGACTTGACTGTGCGTCCCTTTTAAAAAAAAAAAAAATAATCTGAGTCTGCCTGCCTTGTAAACTGCATGCTTCATGATGACGTATGCATGTGTTGTATTCCTACATTATGTACAAGAGGTAACTGTGCTCAGGCCCAGTTAGTCCTGGAGCAGTGTGAGTGCAGGCCAGCAGGGGAATGGGGAGGGGGGGCAATCGTGCTTCAGCACGGTACGGGACACCTTTGCTAGTGTGACCCTCTCACTGCTCCTACCTCTTGTACATAACATTGTAATACAACACATAAAGTATATGGCTTAATGTGACCATGAAGCGTGCTTAGTTTACAAGACAGGCAGATTGAAAAAAATAAGGTAGCGTGGTTGAGTCTGCATCCTCAGAGGAGAACAACACAGACTGCATTTTGTGGCTAATTTTGAGTCATTTTAGTCAGATACAGCCATAACACTCCTGGATTTCTCGATAATGGAGGCAGGGATCGATTACTTCATGTTCACATTGTGTACCTGTGCTTGTGCTTGTGCTTGTGAACAGTGCTGAAGCACACCTCTTCCAATAGTGCCAAGGACAAGTACTGAGCACTCACACTAGTCAAATGAACCAGACTTTAGGTGTTAAATTTGCTTTGGCACAGTACAGATTGCCTAGTGTGAGTGAACCCTATGTCTCTCGATGAAAAACAATCTATGTCCTTAACTGTTTGTTTGATCCATGGTACTGCCAGCAGCTGGTCGAAGGCTCTGCTGGCTGCCTCAAGGTCCACAGTCAGGGCACCTGCTGTTTTTGGAGACCTACTGAGACAAAGAGCAAAGTATTAAAACAAAGTTGGTCAGAGTTAATAACATTTAGGTTACATATTTACTAAGTTATAAGTTTTCTTCCTGAACATCAGAAGTGATTTGGTACATTACATCACAAACCGCTGCAGCTGATAATGGACTCACTTTGTCTTTGTGAAACTTGCAACAAGACTGGAACTTGTAGAAAACATTGAACATATTTCTCTGTTGAAGAAAGAAAGAGATACCTTAGGTACACACCAGAGTCGTTTTTCATAAATGAATTAGTTACTTTCCAGATTTAATAACGCCGTTACAATGACTGACATTTAAAAGCCCACGTTACTGGTTACTTTATGTCTTCGTTACTTCAGCCGACAACAAGCGGGCGAGGTTACTCTAACGTCAGCACAGTAGCATCCAGAAAGAACGTTGCGCGTAGTGAACAAACACAGGTGATCGTTCAGCCGTGAGTGCTCTGTCTCAGAAAAAGTCTGTGTGCAGGAAGGATAACTTATCTCAAAAGAACGAAGCACCGAGCTCAACAACACGCTTCTACTAAACTTTCTGTCAGAGAGCCGACACCCGCAGATACCCAGGAGCAGCTCACGTTAGCTCTGCAGACCAAGGAGGAGACACTCCAAACAGACAAGGCTTAAATTAAAACACGGCCTGCATCACCATGTGTAGGCTGGATTATAGACTGATAGACAAGTTTGATGTTGACGTCATGCTGTTGAGTCTGTGGCCTTCAGCGATCTAATCGGTGAAATACGTACATATTGAAAATGACTCAAGTGTTATTTGAAATGTGCGAGTTGTCAAAGCAACACTAAAGGGATACTTCATCCATTTGCATTAATCTTTTAATCTTTAGAAACCTGGTAGTATTTTTGAATGGTCGTGCATCCCGTCCTCATTTTCCCCTGAGATGGGAAATCTTTGTATTTCTGAGTCTGAAAAGGAGCTTCAAGTGACGCAAAATGACAATTTGTGCGTCACTGGAAGATGTTGCGGTTAGCGGTGTGAACTACAACGCTAGTTCCTCATATTTTCAACCACTAAAGCTACAGACCAATCACAGAACAGTGGGTGGGACCTATAATGCGTCAACTTCAAACTGATATGGATGAAGGGGATTTTGAAGGCTGGTAGTATTGGTGCTCTCACTGTTTGCCTATGGACACAGACACAGAGTCTGTTTTCTGCCAGGAATTTCCAAGATGCTGATTCCTTCTGGAAGAAATCTCTGACTAAGTTGAGGAAACGGCCGTATGTGTTGTAGTAAATATGTCTGTAAATAAAGCCCAAGCTTCAGTGGGAATATTTCTACAACATGTATAACCTATTCATGTTTAAACGGGTGAAGTATCCCTTAAATAATGTATTCATTAATATGAAGACTGACTCAAATAAAGTAACGCTGAATTGACTTTCTCAATGCAGTTTGATAGTAATAACGAGTAACCGGTAGTTGTACAAACAAGATAACATTCTGGATAAAGACCTCTTTGCCTCTGCGTTCTCCGGTATCGCGGACAGCCATTGTTTCAGTTTTGTCTCATCAAGCCTTCCTGTTATCTGTCCTCTGTCCGAGCTCTGAAATACAGACAGATGATATATTCTTACAGCAATCAAATTATCATCAGCTTTGTTTACAAGGAAACGTAAGAGATAAATCATTTTTAACACAAAATGTGCATGATCTGAAAAAAACAACAGATGTTCTGATAGTTGAACATATTACCTGCGTGGGTGACGAGAAAGCAAAGTTTGTGTTCCAACCAGTCGATATTTTCAAGTCTGCAGATTCAGATGAAAGTGAAATAAAGAAAAAGAATATCACAGATTATTAAAGAGACGTTATGTAAATCTGCCAGCCGTCTACGCCTCATACCACAACATGGTAAATTATTTGATACCACTGTTTTTTCACAGATTTTACTCCCAGCTGATGCACATTTCTGGGGAAGTTTGCAAGATTCAAGACCCTCTTTTTATGAAAACTATAATCTAATCATCTTTGGCAGCCACCTCAGAGGAGCAGTAGGAAGTGCTCTGCTTTATTATTGAATTCATCTCTACAATGCTGATAAATTCCATCACTTTCCTCCTATCAAATCACCGCAGAGTGCATTGATCTATAAATACATTCATACCTTCGGGTTTGGCGGCTCCATTGTCACTGGTCCATGGAAGTTGTACTTGAGTGGGCGTCAGACAATCACCTGTTCCTCCAGTCCCAATTTGACCCTTTGCCCCATGACCAAAAGCCCACAGTCGGCCAGAGGAGCCCAACACCAGGGTGTGACGTCTGGACGACAGGAACAGGAAAGGTTATTCAGTAATTAATGGTCAATCTCACATACTTTAATGTCAAATTCAACGTCTTAAGTTAGACATGGCAAACTCTGAAACACCTTTTAATTACAAAGACTCCTTTAAATCAAACGGTTTCAGTGATTCATCCTCCTCATTTCTTTTTACCTGCCACATGAAATCTGTGCGGCAGATCCATCCAGACCGTCAACCAATCTAGGAGCCTTTTCATTGTCAGTGGAGTTGTGACCGAGCTGACCGTTGCTTCCTTCTCCAAAGGTGAAAACTCTACCGTCCTAGAAAAGAAAACCTTACATTGTAGTTATCTTTAAAATGTGATAACTTTGTACAGCATATCTGAGTGAGTGGAGTGAGGTTTGTACCTTTGTTAACACGGCAGAGTGTGCCTCTCCACAGCTGATAAAAGACACATCCAGAGGCCTGAGGGCAGGAGCCACACAGATGTTGAACTTGCCTGTGATGACGACATTTAACACGAGATGGAAAGAATGTTTGATGTGCCTCTGGTGGAAACATTATTATTCACACGTCACTAAGTCAAAAGATCATTAGAAAAATAACCTAAACAACAGTTTCCCGTCCGGTGTGAAATAGTCAGTTTTCATGTCTATTTTACAGCATTGTATCACGTGTCGTTTCTTAAAAGCCTGACCAGGAACAAGGACTGCAAATTAGCCTCGTTACTTTATGTGAAACAGCCGACAACAAGCAGGCGAGGTTACTCTAAGGTCAGCACAGTGGCATCCTGGGAGAAAGAACAGGCTGTAAACAAAAGGCAGGTGATCATTCAGCAGAGAGCTTTCAGTCTCAGAAATACCGACATTTACTTTTCCCTGCTCGAGTTTAACAACAAGAATAAAGCGGTGAAAGTCTGAGAGTCTATGTGCAGGAAGAAAAAACGAGCTGCAGACACCAGAGACCCAGGTGCAGCAAAAACTGACTAACCAGGGACAAGGAAGGCAAATTACCCATGGCTAGAACAAGTCCTATACAAATTGCATCGGTCACACTTTAATTAGATGTAGCAAATCCTTCCCGCATGTCATTCCTCTCTCTCTCTCTGCACGATATCTGACTCTATATCCACTGTCCTGTCTCTCAAATAAAGGCATAAAAAGCCTTTATTTGAAAATAGTTCTGGGTATATTTAAGATCACTCTGAATATAACTGTAACTCAGGAGTGGAGAAAGCTGTGTTAAGTTTGACACAATAATATAATCCTGATACTATTGATCCTTACTAAATGTTCAATGAAACACACAAAAAACAAACACAACAAACAGCTACTTGTAGAAGAGACCACAGCAGCCAGCTGGTATTAGAATAAACTCTGTGACTGTCTCTGCCTGTAGGTGGTGCTGACTGACACGTGTAGAAATAGTCTGATCATAGTCAATGTGCTCCACCTTTAGGAATAATCCTAAACAAGTGTGTCTGTAACCAAGTGAATGAAGATTATTGGTACCCTTCTCATCCACCCTGTCGAGTCCCAGCTGGCCTGACTCGTTGGCCCCACAGCAGTACACCAGGCCGGGCAGTGTGAGGAAGAAGGAGTGGGTCGCTCCGGCTGAAACCTGGGTCACTGCTACACCGGTCAGAGCTCTCACCAAGACGGGTTTGTCCTTCAGTGACATGTCCTTCCCCAGGCCCAGCTGACCATGGCTGTTAAGACCCCATGACAAGACATCTCCTCCTGTGAAGTTGGAAATAGTGGAGGAAATACAAATAACTTCAGATCGTAAGATTAAGATATGGTAACTTATAAAAGCAGATGGAGAAACATGTGAATTGGATTTAACAATTTGACACAAAATCAAGTCAAAGCTATAAAACAAAAGATCACACATTACAAGGTGTTAAACTAGAGCCACCACTATAAACCACACAAATGTTTATGTTCAATTTCTTACCTTTAGTCAGCGCCAAAGAGTGGACATCTCCACAAGCCACTTGGATCACTGTTACTGGGAATGGTGTGGGTACCCGGCTGCATGTTGATAAGACAGAATAAGTCAAATATAAAATAAAAGGCTTCCTGAGGCTTTTCGGTAAAAGTGTTTATGCATTCGACATATCGACTGAGATCATGCCTTGGTCTCTGCTGATTGGGTAACATGCCAAGCTGTCTGTCTCCCAAGGAGAACACGTGTCCAGATTCACTCAAAGCCAGACAGTGATCCCGACCACAAGCCAAAGACACCACATTACCCAGACCCTCCACACGACCTGAATCAGGGTGACAGAGAGAAAAACAAACACAAATGTTTGAAATGTTTTGATGTGTGAACAGCTTTAAAACGATGCTACACTGAGCAGCCCTATTTGTCTTAAACACAAATCTAAATTAGGCATCAAGTGTTTGTACCAAGACGCCAGTTCTGTACCAGTCTTGAAAAAGGAAGCCATTGCAGAAGTGCAAAATCCTGCAGTGTGCGGCGCTTGTGGCTGGTTACAGGAACGCCAGAAGACACAATTATACATTAACATGTTTACAGCCTGGTACAAAAAAAATTAGATCTGATTAGTTATTGTCATCATGGGCACATACTGTACAGGGGTTCGTCAGTCTGTCGTTAGGGTGACTGAAAGTTAGGGTGAGACAGGATTTCCATCATGCAGCTGCTGCAGATGAGCCTCCAGAGTGCCCTGCAGTAACAGATGGCTGACGTCACTCAGACCTCGTCCATTAATATTTAGATTTAGGCTACAGTTTATGGTTTTACCTGTCGTGTGCTTAATGATAGTTGTGTCAAATAACTCGTTCATTTTCCTCACTTTCTGAACAAAATTGACTTTCAGTACTCCTCAACTTTCCCAAAATCAGTCATTATGATACATTTTTATCCATTTAACTTAAATAATTTAAATAACAGTGGGAAATAGAGTTTCACCTTGACCTGCTGTATAAAGATTTGGCTTTGGGGGTTACATTTAAAAAGTCCAATTATCCAATGTAAAAAGAAAAACAATGTAGGCTATAGCACTGTAAAGACAAATTTAGGATTTTATCCACTCATATAAAACATTTTCATGTATCAACCTTAACTTAGAGAATCGCTTTATTGGATTCACCTACTCGCTGCTGAAATGTAAAATAAAAAAACCCGGTTACAAATCAAAGCAAAACATGTATAGAGTGCCTCAATTAAATTTTCCGACTTTCCCACTTGCACTTGAACTCAGCACATGCTGAAGTGCAGTAACTTTCGATACCTCAGATGACGAAGGGGAAACGAAAATGAAACTTGACTCAGTTAATAAACCTATAGGTAAAAGGTTTGCAGTGATGATGTATGACTGTTCATCCATACAACTAATTTAAAGCAACTTATTTCTCAGTCGAATTTATTCTCACTAATTATTAAAAAAGCACAACACTTAGAAGTTAGACCAACAACAATTCATTCAAAATACTCTAAAATAAAAAAAAACTTTTGTAAATAAATAAAGTAGACTACGTCTCCGTCATTATGTGTCTAATACTAAACTTGTAGCCGAATAGCCTACTATACCCTACTCCAAAAAAAGAAAAGAAATAGTTTTGAATTACTTTTCCTGCTGCATAGCGGTGTTCTGTCTACTAAGAAGTATTTTAAACTTTACCTGGAGTATCGGCATGTTTACGTTTCTTTCGTCCAACTCGTCCCTGGGGTTTGAGACCACATGATAAAACCCATCCATCCTTGGTGAGGAATAAAGTTTGCTTTTCTCCGCAGCAGATGTCGGTGATGCCCCTGGGGACAGACCAGGAAACCGGGCTGAGGGCAGTCTGAGCACCGAACTGTCCACTGGAGCCGTCTCCCCACCAGATCAGCTGCACCATGATAACACCATGGACTGTAAATAATGACGATCACACCTGATGTGTTGATGGCATCTGTTCTGGAACTCCCTTTTAATGTTGCATTCAAGTGCTGCCGGGAAATATCACTATCGCGTCAAGTCTTTCAACTCTTATTGTGCGAGTTTAGGATATTGTTTGGATCTGTGGTGATAGTTAAAATGGTTTTACACGACCACACTTGTTAAATAAATAAAACATACTTGTTCCCAAAGAGCAATACATTCCCAAGCATTTCAAGACTATAGCTATAGGCTGTAGTGGTTCCCAAAGTAGGGGTCGGGACCCCCTGGGGGGCACTTAGACAGGTTGCGAGGTGCCTTCCATAAATAAATAAAAAAAGTTTGATTTAAAATATGCATATCTTACCCATTATTGTGGAAATACAATTAAAAATACAACTGTACTTGTTAAGTAAGATTTATGCTGAAATGAAAGTGATGTGAAAACAAATCAACAAGCTTTCATGAAACAGGAGTCAGCTAGAGGGCACCAGAGATTAGTAAAGAGACGAGAGGTTTAACTTTCAAAGTTACATTTTCAGCTTTGTAATGGACCTGGTGCTCATTATGATTTTTTATTCAGGTTTAACCATTAAAAACAAAATTGTAATCACCAATGATTGCCTCATAGATACTGTTTATCATGCTGATCTACTTTTATGGTGCTGTTTTAAAGGCTTTATATGCAATTTTTTGATCCAGCAGATGTCGCCCTTGGGCACCAGCATGAAACCAAAACAACTCACGCTGCATTGTTGTGTTAGCATGCTAATGCTAGCGATCTTTATGATGCTCGTATCTTCACACTGCATGTAAATTTACCTGAAATGAGCGTGATCTAGAAACACAGTTAAGCAGTGAGTACAGTATGTTATTCTTCTTTTCTCTAGTCCCTCAATTAAACAACTTTTATACACGAGGGGAGGAGTCAGCCGGCCGTCCCGGCGATGTAAACAAACTGAAGATAGGACTCTGAAAACATCACAGACAGTGGGACTCGGGTGTTACACCCATTGTAGACAGTCTTGACTCACAGAGTTATTTTCAGAGGATATACTTGATTTATATTATATTTAAGTGTGAAAAAGCACATATAAAGCCTTTGAGTGGTGTGTGTTCATATTCATGATTTTTTAAATAGGCCGTGTGATGTCTTGTGAAGGTTAATGTCCACATGGATTTATTTTTTACATATTCTGTAGTATTAGAAAATGTAATTAGATGAAGATTATTGGCTAACTCTGGTGCAAGTTGAATTGAATTGTGCGCTTCCCCTGTAAAAAGAAAGATCACGTCATAAGCTTCATGTTTGAAAAGAGGCATACATTTATATAGACTTTTTTCATGGACTGGATACTCTGGTTTTCTGACAGTTGTTATATTCTTATAATAGTGATGTACAAATTTCAATTTGAAATTACCTCAACAATATAGAGCTAATACGGCACCATTAAGAAATGATTTTATTTCAGATAAATGTGTCAGGATCATTTTGTTGTGCTGTATTTGTAGCACAAAAAGAAAGTGTATTGGTTTTATTTTTACAGAAATGAATCTCAGTAAAGTGCTGGGTTGAGGAGTAACTCCATCCTCAAGGTCAAACTGATACTGAAACTTAAAGTTACACTTTCAATGAAACATTTAATCATGTGATCCCAGAAGTGTATAACAAATAGAAACATGTAGAAACATAAATGCATTACTTGTTTCTCTGTGCATGCCCTTTTCCAACTGACTGTCCTGTATTGTTATTTCATATCAGGGACTGAGATGTAACCGGATGAAAGGGGCATTGCTTCTCTTGACTATTCCCATTTCTCTTTCCAACATTACAGCTTGGTAAATGAGATTAGATTTAAAGAAGTAAAAAATGTGGGACAGAGAAGATCAGCTTTCCCACCAGTTTCATGTCCAAGATGTAAGATAGGGATGCTTTCACACTGCATTTGGTCCTTCCTTTAGTCCGCCCTGACAGTACGAGGTGTGTAAGCATCTGAAGGGCTCTGAAGCAAAGTGACTCGTGCCTTGTGCCACCACAAGTGTTGTTATCGTGCCATCAGGTTTCTGACATAATTACCACAACAGTTTAAGACATCATTGTATCTAAAGGGTACCATCACGTTCCTCACCAGCTGGCAGGACACTGGAGTCATTTAAGTACAGCCACTTTTACTAGTTTCAGCAAAATATGCCCTTCTTTCCAAAGGAAGTCCCTGGAAAATGTTTTTCCAACATTCGTCCATCTGAAAATATGCAGATAAATGCAGCAATGATATTAGAGGGGAACCACTTTCATTTAGACAAAATGAACAACTCTCGCTTACATCTAACAACAATGGTGTGATTTTGGAAAGATCTTACATAAGAGCATCAAGTTTAAAACCTTTTTATTTCAGAACTGACTAAACTTTAACAGAATAAAGCTTCTTTGGGTAAAAACAAAACAAATATTTTGCTCCACAAAATCTGTTATCTCCTATTCTTTGGAGCACTTCCAAAATTGATGACATCTTTGCTTTCTGGCTTCGGGAGCACAGCTCATGATATCAAGTACTGATTGAACTCTCCATGGAAATTAATGACATACTGGAATTCTTATATTAGGTTATTGTCTTAAATGTATCATTGATCATACGACAGGGTTTTATGAATGTTCCCTAAGGTCCAGATGGAATCTGTAACACGCTGTATAGGCTACTGGTGTACTTGGTATATCAAGGTATGCAAAGTGAAGGTACGCTACGGTTTTCTCCATGCCCATCTGATAAATAGAAATATTAAATATCCATGCCCATTTGTTAGATACAAGATTCACAGAAGATGGTCACCCCCGATGGACTCTTCTTCTCCCCTGACTTTTGCCTCCAGTGTTACCTCCAGGGGAATTAGGCTACTTGTGTAACTCACTTAAAGTTAGCCAAGAAACCAAGAGATTTTCTCAAGAAAATGTTGTTTGTTGTCAGTATACTTTGTCTTTTATTTTGAATTGTGCATGCCATCAAGCTAAGGCTACTTTACTGTTTGGACAAAGAATAGCTTTTATTTTGAAGGGAATTAATAAACTTCCGGTGTAAGAAACGTTGTCAAGCCGCTTGAATAGGAAAAGATGAACTTGTTAGGGACAGAAAAGTAAAGGAATAGGCTAAATGTAAACAGCAAATGAACGGTAACAAGTCAAATGTTTATTGTTCAGCAATCCCCTGAGAGGCATTAAGCTCTTACGGGGGTTTGAGTGGTTTATGTGGTCTTTTGTGCTTCGAAATAAACATACAATCATCAGTTCAAGAGTCCAACTGTACAACTGGACCTCCTCCGCTTGCAATCCCACGTCATCAGGTTTCCTAATGGGGGATGAAGGGAGTAGCCTAGGCAATACCTTATCTTGTATCTGTATCCTATCTGAATTTGTCTCATTTCTACACGGCCTCTCTTCTAAATGTACATTATGTTTTATTTTTTATATTGAATGCCTTGTTTATTCAAACAAGTCTGACTATAATCAAAAAAGCAAATATGTTAGAAAGTGAACTTTTACATTTAGAAGTTAGTAGCCTCCTGTATTT